TAGTTGGAAATTAAGTAGTATTCTTTTACATATCTTATGGACCAAAAAGATATAGCAATAAAAGTGATAAAATATGTTGAACAGAATGAAAAAGTATATGTTAAGGTGTGTGTGATTGCAGCTAAAAACAGTGCTTAGAGGTTTATGTATAGCTTAAAGTATAAGTATTAGGGGAAAAAGGCTGGGCCTTAAGCTTCTATTTCAAAACAATAGAATAAGCAAATTATCATCAAAGAAAGTAGGAGTAGGGAAGTAATATAAAGCAGATATTTTTAAAAATGAAATTATTGGAAAGTATTAATTTTAAATCTAGAAAGGCTGGAAAAATTGAAAACATTACCATTATCAGTGAAGATAAAGGAAACATCACTATTAAAAGAGACCAACGAAGCAGAACAAATAAATGCAATATGTAATTTTGTACTCAAGGACAGGAAAATTCTGTAGAGGGCATGTTTGGAACGCTTGATAAAATTGTGGTATGTTCTTTTAAATATTTGTGTCAATGTTGAATTCCCTACACCAGAGAACTTGTATTGTGGCTATCAGAGAATATTTTTAGGAAATAGATACTGTTGTATTGAGGTATAAATGGGTGTGATATATGTAACCTATTCTCAAATGGTTCAGAGAAAGGCAATATGTGTATTTTTTAAAAAAGAATAGTATAAATGATGCTAATAAATTTGACAATAAATAAAAAACTCATTTTGATTAAAATCGGAATGTTTATATTCCCACATTGTAAGGAAGGCTTTATAAAAAGCTGCATCATTTAAGACAGTGTGGTATTGATGTAAAAATAGATGAATAGTAATGGAGTACCAATATCCAGAAACAGACGGTTGTCTATGGTCACTTGATTTTCTACAGAGCTGCCATTGCAATTTAATGGAAGAAAGAATGATCTTTATGATAAATGATACTGAATCAACTGGGTATCTGTATGGATAAAAATTAACCTTTCACCTCAAACTATATACAATTAGTGTGAGATGGATTATAATATGAGAAATGGGCTACAATAATAAAGCATCTAGAAGGAATCACGAGATATTCCTAGTGAAGGTGAAGAAAGGATATCCAAATGGCATTAATCATATGAAAAGGTGCTCAATAACCTTAGTCATTAGGAAATGCAAAATTAAAATTTCAGTGAACACCAGTACATTTAAATTTAAAAATACCCATTGTTGGCAAAGATGTGAAGCACCAGTGTTGGTGGGATTATACATTGGAATAACCATTTGGGGAAATCACTGGTATCTGCTAAGTTAATTAAGCCTTCTGTGACCCATCAGTTTCACTCTTATACTATAGACATATCCAAGAGAAATAAATGTGCATGGATATTCAGAGCAGTCATAGTAACCCCAAAATGGAGATGATCCAAATAGAGTAGTAAATATATTGTGGTATATTCATATAATAGAATGCTTTATTGCTAAAGAAAATTACATGGTTGGATCTCACAGATATAATAATGAGCAAAAGAGAATATATTTTTGTCTAAAATTCTAAAACAAATCAGATTATAGTGAAATAAATAAGTGACCATGGGTATTACTGCTGATTAGAACATAAGGGTACCTTCAGGGCTGCAGGAAGAAGTATTCTATGTCTCAGTCTGATGGTTATTAAAGTGTATAATAGTTAAAAATTCATTGAGTTATACATGTAAGATTAGTATACTTTATTATTTGTATGTAACACCTTAAAATATTTTCTTTTTAGTAATAGTGTGGTAGATACTTACTGTGACAATTTACCAGGCTTGAAATAATTATATACTGAAATCCCCACCCCCACCCACCCCCCCTACCCCCGGTAAACTTTTGGTCCCAAAAGTCTATATGGCAAAGTGGAAAGGGTACTGGTCTTTGAGTTTTAAGACTGGTTCTAAATTGTTCTCTTCTACTTTTCACTTCTTCAGTCTTGTAAAACCTGGATGTCAGTAATTAATCACTGTTACTGTATGGTGAAAGTAACTTTTTGATTCCTGGAATATCAAAAGGAATAAATGAAATGGTTGGTGCAAAGTGCTCTCTACCTTACTTTGCTGAACATTTGGCTAATTCATTTCTAAGATTTGGTCACTTATCAAAGACCTAACCTTTGGAAGAACCTTTAGTTTCTCTGACAGTATTTCATTGACTTTTAATTGATTGATTATGGAAACATGCTTTTTAGTGTCACCAAGAGGGGGGAAACCACTTCATACAGTCATATGAAGGTATTGATTACAAAATATCTCACAATTTTAGAGATATGATTGGAGGCAAATTACATCTTAGAATCAGTGAAATGTGAGATGTTTTTGTGCAGTTTCATTTTGGTAAATTTTAACTCTTATAGATTAGCATGATTGATAAAATTGAAGCATTTTAAAGCTCTGTAGAAATGTTAAGAGAAAGTAAAATAATAATAATGTGGATACTTTAAATGGACAGATTGAAGTGACTTACACTAGTCTTTTTACTTTGTTAATAATAATTGCCCTCAAGGGCTGGGGTTGTAGCTCAGTAGTAGAGTGCTTGCCTGGCACATGTGAGGCATTGGGTTAGATCCTCAGCACCACATAAAAATAAATAAATAAAGGTATTGTGTCTATCTACAACTAAAAAAAATTATATATTTTTAAAAATTGCCATCAAGTTGCAACTAAATTTTGATAGCTTCTTTCTCCTCTTCCTCCTCCTACCTCCTCTTCCTTCCTCTCCTCCTTTCTCTTCCTCCTACTCCTTCCTCCTATTCCTCCCTCCTCCTACTCCTTCCTCCTATTCCTCCCTCCTATTCCTCCCTCCTCCTACTCCTTCCTCTTTCCTCTTTCCTCTATCCTCCTTCCTCCTTCCTCTATCCTCTTTCCTGCTCTGTTCCTCTCTTCTCCTCCTCCTCTCTCCTCCTCCTTCCTCCTCCTCCTCCTCCTCTCTTCTCCTTCTCCTCTCCTCCTTTCTCCTCCTCCTTCCTCCTTCCTTCTCCTCCCTTCTCCTCCTTCCTCCTTCTTCCCCCTCCTCTCTCCTCCTCTTCCTTCCTCCTCCTCCCTTCTCCTCCTCTCCTTCCTTCTTCCTCCTCCTTCTCCTCTCTTTCCTCCTCCTTCCTCCTCTCTCCTCCTTCTTCCTCTTTTTCCTCCTCCCTTCTCTTTCCTCCTCTGTCTTCCTCCCTCCTTCTCCCTCCTCTTTCCTCTTCCTCTTCCTCTTCCTCTCTCTTCCCCCGCCCCATTTTAGAGACAAGGTCTTACTATGTTGCCTCTGCTGGCCTTGAATCTGAAATTTTTCTACCAAAGTTTTTTCAGTAACTGGCATTACAGGTGCACACCACCATGTCCTGGCGTTGAGTATTTTTTTAAAATAATAACCAAGTGTTTCACTTATCTTGTCTATTGGTATTACATTTAACAACTAACACATAGTAGGCTTTCAAGTATTTGTTGAATGAGTTTTAATAAATTTTTAGAATAGTCACTTTTAGCTGTTTATTTGTCATCTGAAAGCAACCAGAGGCCTTCAGTTCTTTAAGAGTGATACTAAAATTTTCCCCATGTAAAACTCATATGATATTAATAATTGTTTCTGAAGCCAGGCACAGTGGTATATGCCTGTAATCCCAGCAGTATGGTAGGCTGAGGCAGGAGGATCTGAGTTCAAAGCCAGCTTCAGAAATTTAGTGAGGCCCAAGCAACTCAATAAGACCCGTCTCTAGATAAAATACAGAAAAGGGGCTGGGGATGCGATTTAGTGGTAAGCGCCCCTACGTTAAATCAATCCCCAGTACCCAAAAAAGAGAATTATTTCTGAATCTAAGCTAATATTTCAGATACTTAATTGAAGGTACAAAGCTAGATGTCTTTTCTGGTCTTGGATAACCGAAATGTTCATTAGAAACAAGTAGTTGAAATTTGAGAGGTACTAGTAATGAAGAAGCTATGTTAAATTCCTGTAATAAAAGCAGTTTTGTTGATTATTGAGTTTCGGAGATAGTCTTATTAACTCCGGCATGTTTGCTAATACTCATTTGTACATTGCCTCCTTTTATCTCCTCCTTGTTACCTTTGTATTAATGGATTAATGAAATATACAGCTTTTAAATATGAGGTCCTGATTTCTTTAAGCCAGCCTTCTTGACCTGACAAAGGAATTGTAGCAATTTTTAGTAAGAAATGTGTGTACTTAATTATAAATGGAAAGTAATAGGGATGTGTAGAAATACAAATCTTTTTTTTCCCTTCTTTTTGACTGTCAGTTCAATTAAGATTGAGAACTTAGTGTATTTAAAGATTAAAGGGAAAGAATCAATAGAGATGAATATAAAAGGGAATGATTACAAGTTTGGTACAGTAGGGCAAATAACTACCCTCTGTATGTACCATTCTATCACTGCAGAACTTACTAGAAATCATACTATTTTGCTTACTCGTGAAAAAATGCTTTACTTCATGTAAATAGCCTTTTAGAGGTCTTAATATAATCTTATTATGAATATGATAATAAAATTTAATGAACAATCTGGCACATTTTATGCTTTTTAATCATCAAATGGAAGTAGTGCTTGCTAAAATTCTTGGTGGCTGATAATATTTCAAGAAAGTAAGTGAAGCTAAATCATTTACAGTAACTTTTAATCTCCCTTTCCTTATAGCTACTAAGTTCTTAGTGATGCTATTCTTGCCTCCTACTAGATGCAGGACTTGTTTTAATAAGCAAATAGGCCAAACCTTTGGGAGTGCTTTCTCTGAAACCTTTTAGGTCTCTTGGGCTGCTAGACCTCAAGTTGGCCACTGAAGAGCAAAGAAGAGGATTATATTTCATTGGCAACAGACTTGAGGAACTTTACTGGATCTAGCAACATTGGAGATAGAAGCCAGAAATTATAGAATAACCTTCTCATTAGCCATAGGACACCAGTGGGGTAGTTAGCTCCTGTGTGACTCTTCTGAACCTCAAAATAGGGTCATAATTTTTTTTTCCAGGATTATTATTTTATGTATACACTTTAGAAAACTGACCATGTATTCATTGTTTATCAGTACGAGGATGTCGTCCAGGAAAGATTGTGCAGATGACTGAAGCAGAAGTCCGGGGCTTATGTATCAAGTCTCGTGAAATCTTCCTCAGCCAGCCTATTCTTTTGGAGTTGGAAGCACCACTGAAAATTTGTGGTATGTAAATGGATAAAGTTGAAAGCAAGTCTTTCAAATCATGTTTTTCTTCCCATATTTATATTGAAACTTATATTTTCAATTATAAAATTGAAACTTTCATAAAATTATGTTATAGACAACAAAATATTTGTAGTATTACAACAGAAAAAAAAGGTTCCAGAAATCATAACAAATAAAGAGTCCTTAGAAGTAAGAAAACAACAGTATAATAAGAACAAAAGATACGAAGAGGCCAATCTTAGAAATAATAAAATGGCCACTAGGCAAAGTCCTCACCCCGCTTAACTAATAATCAGTGAAATGCAATTTAAAACAAGTCCCAATCAGACAAGGAGGCCCATGTTACTTGGGAGGCTAGGGCCAAGGCTAGTCTGGGCAACTTAGCTAGACCTGTCAAAAATAAAAAGGGGGGCTGGAGATGTGGCTCAAGCGGTAGCATGCTCGCCTGGCATGCGTGCGGCCAGGGTTCGATCCTCAGCACCACATACCAACAAAGATGTTGTGTCTGCTGAAAACTAAAAAAAAATAAATTAAAAATAAATAAATAAAAAGGGCTGGGGATGTAACTTAGTGGTAGAGCCCCTGCCTAGTATACTCAAGGCCCTGGGTTCAATCCCCAGTACCACTAAAAAATTAAAAATAAATGAAGCAAGTCTCTTATTCCAATCAGATTACAAAAAAAAAAGGTCAAAGATTGATATTTAATGTTGTCAAAGATATGGAGAAATGGCATTCCAGTACACTACTATAGAATTTAGAGGATCAATACAGACCAGTATCCATGGTCTTCTAATTTTTTGTGTGTTTAAATTTATTTTGCAGATTATATTACTTTATATATTGTATTTGTTCAGTGTCTTTTGGCCAAAAGCATAAAGTTATGAGCTTAAGTCTAGTGATCTTGTTGTTAACAACCAGAAAAATTTTTGGATGGAAAGTAACATTTTTCTATCTTTCATGTAGCAGAAGGAAGTTGTTTAAATACTGTATCATACTGGCTTTTGCTTATATAATGCAAGTATTCTTTGAAGTGGTTATTAGTATATATGACATTGTTTTCATAGGCTTACATGCTTTTGCTCAAACACGGATAGTTTGCTGTATGCAAAAAAATTCTCTCCGGCATATTTTTTAATCTATTTTTGTATTGTGTAACTTGTAGATACTTAATATGCTCCTTAAATGATTTTTATTCTCTTTCTTTGTGTGTTTTATATTAAATCATGCACCTGATATTACTTTGTATAGTGCCCAGCAAATAAGAGATATTTGTATTAATTGAATAAATTAATTAGCTTAGAGTAATACCTGTAAGAGGTAGACATTTAGAATTCTCTAGAAATGATCGATCCCTTTTATGAATTTAAGTGAAGCAAATGTAATTATTTATAGATGATCTTAAAATGATTTATTATTATGGGGTTGGGGATGTGGCTCAAACGGTAGAGCACTTGCCTGGCATGCATGCGGCGCTGGGTTCTATCCTCAGCACCACATACAAATAAAGATGTTGTGTCCACCCAAAAAAAAGTAAATATTAAAACAAAATGTTTTATTATGTTCCTCAATTTATGATAGGGTTATGTCCCAATAAACCCATGATAAATTGAAACATCTTAACTTAAAGATACATTTATGCTGGGTCTGGTGGTGCAGGCCTATAATCCCAGCAGTTTAGGAGGCTGAGGCAGGAAGATCATGAGTTCAAAGCCAGCCTCATCAAAAGCAAGGTGTTAAGCAACTCAATGAGACCCTATCTCTAAATAAAATACAAAATAGGGCTTTGGTTGAGTGCCGCTGAGTTCAGTCCCCTCCAAAAAGAAGTATGAACTAAAAATACATTTATACACCTAACCTACTGAACATCAAAGCTTAACAACACAGTATGCTGTGAAATATAAGTTGTTACCCTTATTGCATGGCCAACAACTGGGAGCTGCAACTTATTGCTGCTGCCTGCCATCTCCAAAGAGTATTCACTAGCCTATGAAAAGTATGTTTTCTACTAACTGATATTGCTTTTGCAGCATCATAAAATTATAAGTAAAACCATCATTAGTCAGGTACCACCTGTACTTTTTAAAGGTACTCTTTCAAAAGTATTTTTAATGTAAAAATAACTTAAAGGTATTAGAAGTTATTTATACTATGTATTTCTTAGTTCTTACTATTAGATCAAAGTAAAAGTATTATATAGTAAGAGTAACTATATTATCAGTTATATATGAAAAAGTTGCCCCCAAAGTTTGTGGCTTACAATATTAACATCCCACAGTTTCTGTAGGTCAGGAATTGGCACAGCTTTGCTAGTCCTCTAGTTCTGGGATAAGGATTGTCAAGGTTCAACAGTGAGAGGATTCAGTTTTTTATAGGCTGATAGACTGAGGGCCTCAGTTTCAAATGAACTATTGACCAGAGGCCTCCCTCAGTAAGTCACAAGTTACTTGCTTAAGGGGAGGGGATCGCATAAGAGTTTGAAAACTGTTTTATAGAAGCTGCTTGTGACAGTAATCAGTTTTTCTAAAACTAACTTTTTCTGTTTTTTAGGAGATATTCATGGACAGTATACAGATTTACTGAGACTATTTGAATATGGAGGTTTCCCACCAGAAGCCAACTATCTTTTCTTAGGAGATTATGTGGACAGAGGAAAGCAGTCTTTGGAAACCATTTGTTTGCTATTGGCTTATAAAATCAAATATCCAGAGAACTTCTTTCTCTTAAGAGGAAATCATGAATGTGCTAGCATCAATCGCATTTATGGATTCTATGATGAATGTAAGTAAAAATAAAAACTTAGAAAAGAAATTGATAGAGAAAGGGTCAGGCAGCTGGGGTAGGGGCTATGGTGGTGGTGGCGGGGGCAGGGGGAGGCGCATGGTGGTGGGATGACACAGGGTTATTTATAGTGGCCACAGGGTTAAAAAGAAACACTAAAGTTCCTAGGGAACCAAAGTAAAATTTTGTAAGAACAAAATGGATAAAGAGGAGAGAACCTCTGGTGGCTGTGAAGGTCCTGATGCCATACATGTCAGATTGATATCTTCTGATGGTCATGAATTTATTTAAAAACAAAAAACAGTGCATTAACATCAGGAACAATTAAAGCCATGTTGAGTAGCCCAGGTCATTTTTCCAAAAATAAAACCAGTGCATTCAGTTTTAGAGAGAATGCTTTTCATGTGCTATCAAAAGTATACATGTATTTTACTTACAAGGTTTGCTACATTAACTGCTCCACCAAGGTTCCTAAATTCCCAAATGCACCCAAAATTTCCCTGGAACTACTGATAGCTGCAAAATTCCTGGATTATTAAGTAAATTGTAATACAAACTGTTTAAAAAACAAATAAAAAAAACATGAAAGAAAAGTAATTAATAGAAACATCTTCTTAATAATTTTCCAGATCAAAGGAATTCCTCCAGTTCAAAGTTTTTTTAAAACTAAAAAACAAAGGCCTAAGAAAGGAAACCTGAAACTGGGAACCATATTACTAATGAAATTAGTTTCTTGAGATCTCCTTGGTCATGTTGTTTCAGATTGACTGTAGTTTCCTTAGGTGAAAAGGCCCTGTTTTAATAATTAGTTTACCTAGTAAGGTATCCAAGTGAAATAGGTCTGTATCAGTAGTGGCTTCAGGTTTTCTAACGTCCAGAAGTTTTTAGCTCACAGTATTCTTGTGATATGACCAAAGCTCTCATTAGCACTGTGTCACAAGAACTATTGAGACATTCTGTGAAACTATTTAAAAGTCAAAAGTTTATGCAGGCATAGTGGTGCATGCCTGTAATCCCAGCACATCCAGTGGCTGAGGCAGGAGGATCACAAGTTCAAGGCCAGACTCTGCAACATAGACCCTAAGCAACTTAGTGGAACCCAGTCTCAAAAAGTAAATAAAAAGGGTTGAGAATATAGTTCAGTGATGAAGTTCCTCTGGGTTTAGTTCCTGTTAATCCTCCCCCCACAGAAAAAAAAAAAGGTCAAATTTTATTATTAGAATTTTAATCTATATTTACAAATCCAGAAAGATACTGAATACTCTGGGGTATTCTTATTTTATTATGCTCTTTTTCATCAGTAGGAAATAATTGATTTACGTTCTGTAGTAGTATTTCCAAGTATTATTATTATATTACCCTACTATATTCAAATTTTGTCTGTTAGTTTTGTTAGATTGACTGGGAGTGAGTATGTTTGGTTAATTACAATTTAGAATCAATTATGGTAATTTTCTAATTGAATTTATTCTTTTTTTTAATTGTAGCATTCCCCATTAGAATCTACTCTTGTTTTTTTCCATCTTTAAATATGGTAGAGTCTAATTAAACTCGTATCTCCTTGATTTATGTAATGATTTCACAAGTGTTTGAGGACAGTATATATGTGTGTATACATGTGAACACATACACACACTACACACACACCAGTCAGTTCTGAACACTGGGGATATAGCAGTACATCAGACAGATAACCTATTTTCATGGAGCTTATGTTCTAATGGGAATGATTCTGTATTTGGTTTTATATTATATTTTTAGTTATATAATGTAATGGGTGGTTTGACTTGTTGAAAGCGGACCTGTAGAAGGGAAGTAGGTTAAGAACATGAAATCACATCTTCTTCAAGCTTCCTAAGGATTAGAAGTATATAGGTGTATTCTTAAAAGAAAATAGAGGTATGAATATTCTTGATGATAAAAGTGACATCAAATGGAATAATGCATGGGAGACAGCTTGTAAACAGTGCTTGGAGTTACACTTACTCATTAAGAGATAGGCTGTAGCCTAAAAACATAGGAGATTAGTACCTGTGTCTTTCATCCCTTTCCTGGTAGTTGAACTTAAAGCCAAATCAGGAAAATCAAGTAAGTCTTAAAAAGGTGAACATGCACTTGAGGTCATCTTTGTTGTAGCTATTTAAGCTAGGCTATAGGAAAATTATAGCCTTTATGTTGTTGCACTTGCTATAGTGCCAAGATGTAATTCACTCAAAAGTGAATACCAAGTTAAGCACTTGTAAATTTTTCTTTTTTGGCAGTAAGTTTATACTTTTCCTCAATGCATTAGAGTTAAAAATGGACCCCCTTTCACTTCTGCTTACTCACTTGGCTAGGTATTTAGTGCTAAAGTTGAAGGAAAAAGATGAACCAATACCTATTAGACTATTTCTGAACTTCTGAAATTATAGTGATCTTAAAAGACAAAAATTGTTTGATGTGTTTGTTTCATAAAACACCCAACAAAATCTTGCAAGTCTTTGTAACTTTACTGAAGGTGCTAGTGTTTAATATATTTGTTACCTTTTTTGAAGTGTTAAACTTACTACTCTTTTTTTTTTTTTTTTTTCTGGCTTTGCAGTGCTTGGGTTGAAACTCAGGGCCTCACATGTAGTATACAAGTGTTCTGCCACTGAGCTACATTCTCAGCTCATCAAACTTATTTTTATGTAACTTGTACATCTAGGGGGAAAGTGCTGGTTAAGCAAAAGAGAAAATTGAAATCATTATGGGAAAATCTTTTAGATTTTTTAATTTATTTGCTTGTTCTTTTTACAGGCAAACGAAGGTTTAATATTAAATTGTGGAAGACCTTCACTGATTGTTTTAACTGTCTGCCTATAGCTGCCATTGTGGATGAGAAGATCTTCTGTTGCCATGGAGGTAGAGTAATAAATTTGCCTTAGGAGTTTTCCTTATTGTTCCCTAACTCAGAAAAGACCTATAATAATTAGAATGCTATGGGGGAACAAAGTAGTACTTATGTGAAAACTGAAGCAATTAAAACTGTATTAAGCATAGCTAAAACAATTGGAAATTTGTGATATGTATGAGTAATGAAATTTTAATTCTTTAAAAAATTTCTCATATAAAAAAAGGATAACTAGAAGTTGTGGTTTTTGTTTGTTTGTTTGGTTTAGTTTTTAAATGTCTTGTCTTTGCCTCTATTTGTTTTGTGGTGCTCAGGATCAAACCTGCAGCTTTATACATGTTGGGCAAGTGCTCTACAAGTGAGCTGCATCCCCGTCTGTCAGTAAAAATTAGGTGATCATTATTTTCTTGCCTATGTAAATACCTTTCATCAGAATCCAAAAGTAATTGAACTTAATTTTTACATATTAAAAGTGCAGCTTTGTGCAATGTGTCTCCTTGTCCTAAAATTAATTTCTTGGTAGAATGTAAGTTATTTTATATGATTTGAATTTGTAAAAATTCATTGGAATAACTAACATGACTAGTGCTTAGGTAGATGTGTAATGGATCATCTTGAAGAATTTTAAGATCTATTGATAAAATATATTTAAGAAACATTAAGTAATAAATGATTTAATAACATCAGTACTTCTAGAGACAGTACATTATTATGAGAAACCAGAAAAGGGAGAAAAGTGTAGGGCACGTGTTTATGGAGGCATGAGTTTTAGAGGGTAAATAGACTTTAGAGAAGTGAAAAGGACTTGAGACAGTCTGTGTGTTGTCTAGTTTAGGGAATGTGTGCCTGATTAGAATGTCAAATACACATTGGGGAATGATGAAATAAGACTAGAGATTTGAAAACTGAGCAAAGGAGTTTGTTAAATGGTTTAATAACAGTATCAGATTTTGGATAGGGAAGTAATTTAATGAAAATAATTGAGGGGCTGGGATGTGGCTCAAGCGGTAACACGCTTGCCTGGCATGCATGGGGCGCTGGGTTCGATCCTCAGCACCACATTAAAATAAAATAAAGATGTTGTGTACACCGAAAACTAAAAAATAAATATAAAAAAAAAAGAAAAGAATTGAGAAAATTTGTTTTCATCACTATATGGAAAGAGTTAACACTGGAAAAATGCTGAAAAGACAAATGCACTTGATTAGGCTTAAGGCAATAAATGGTTTATTTTCTAACAACATAATTCATTATATTGAGACATATTTTCCAGTAGGTATTAAACATTTAAGGGATTATAGTTCTTACACATTGGTATAGCTAAGAATAGAAATACAGCAGTATGAAATGTGAATGTTTAGCTTTGTTCTTTGTGATGACATTTGGATTGCCTACCAGAGAGAATTAATAGCTTATGTTTATATACTACAAATATTTTCATGAGTTTTTTATTGTTTATTCTTCTGGTCAGCAGATCCTGCCTTCATGAAAATAATGAGCATGTTAGAGTGGGATGTGAGGAAAGATTCTTAGGGAACCAATGAGGCATTTTAACTTGGGAGTAAAAATGTTTAAGATTAGATAGTTCATAAAGTGGCAAGTGGTAGGAAGGATTATAATTAAGTGTCTTTGTACAAAGGACAAGGAATGGTTGGAAAGAAAGGGGGTCTTTCCTTGAGAAATTTTTTGAAATATAATAAACAGAACTTCATTTCCTTGGTAGGAAAGATAGAGAAGACAACATAATTAATGATAATGTTCTGTTACATCAGGATTATGTTTCATCTTTTTATTTATAGGACTATCACCAGACTTGCAATCTATGGAGCAGATTCGGAGAATTATGAGACCCACTGATGTCCCTGATACAGGTACATATGTAAAGAAGTTTGTTTTGTGTAAAATGTTGACATATTTGAACCTAATTATATTTAGTGGAAGTAGGATTGGTTTAATAAATAATAGAGACCACTTTTATAGTCAGTAAGCTAACTACAGAGTATTTTCATTAATCATTCCCCAAAATGTATGACTTTTAAAATTTTATGCAACCTTAATGTGGTTCTTTCAAATGTATCACAAAAAAAGATCTTGCTGTTGATTCCACTTACTTTTCTAAGTTCCCTCATTCATACCTTTTAAATTGCCGGGCATGGTGGCACACACCTGTAATCCCATTGTTCCTGAGATGGAGGATCTTGAGTTCAAAGTCAGCCTTAGCAAAAGTGAGGTGGTAAGCAACTCAGTGAGACCATGTTCCCAAATAAAATACAAAATAGGGCTGAGGAATGTGGCTCAGTGGTCGAGTACTCCTGAGTTCAATCCCTGGTACCAAAAAAATAAAATACAAAAAATCCCTATTAATTCAAAGATTTTAGTTAAAGTTAGCCAAGGATAGTTGCCTTCTTTGTTATTTTTTGCATCATCTGTATTTCATTCAAACTTTTAGAGCCCTGAAAGCTCTAGAGACTTGGTTGATTTTTTGAAAATTATATATGAAGTTTATTAAAAATTTTTGTGTAAATTATTGATTATTCCAACATTAAGAACAACTCTTAAGTCAAATTGAAAAATGAGTCAAGTAGGGGAAAAGCAAATAAGTCTAGTTGATGATAAAATGCTGAATTAATAAATGAGCCTGGTGTAACTTTATAAATAGATGATAGGCATAGTTTTAACATCTCTATTGGTTTTAAAACATTGCTCAGGGCTGGGGCTGTAGCTCAGTGGCAGAACACTTGCCTAGCAAGTGTGAGGCACCGGGTTCAATCTTTAGCACCACATAAAAATAAACAAATAAAATAAAGGCATTCTATCCATCTACAACTATAAATTTTAAAAAAAAACATTGCTCATATTTGAGTATCTAACCGTGGCATTTGTATTGTAAAATGCCACTGAACTGAATGTAGTTAAATTCCTCTGCTTCCTCCTGTGAACTTTTGGTTAAGCCAATATGTCCCATTGTCCTATATATAGGACACTTAAAAAACTTAAAATGAATAATTTATAGGACTTGGAATTCTCCTGCCTCACTTTCTTATTTATTTATTTATAGTTTTTATTTTTTCAATTTTTAAAAAAATTTTAATTGATTTTAAAAAATAAATGACAACAAAATGCATTACAATTCTTATTACATACAGCACAATTTTTCATATCTCTGGTTGTATATAAAGTATGTTCACACCAATTCATGTTTTCATACATGTACTTTGGATAATGATGTCCATCACATTCCACCATTCTTGCTAACCCCCTGCCCCCTCCTACCCCTTCTACTCCTTTGACTGATCTAGAGCTTGTCTATTCCTCCCATGCTCCCTCTCCCTACCCCACTATGAATCAGCCTCCTTGTATCAGAGAAAACATTGGGTGTTTGTTTTTTGGGGGATTGACTAACTTCCCTTAGCATTATCTTCTCCAGTGCCATCAATTTACCTGCAAATGCCATGATTTTATTCTCTTTTATTGCTGAGTAAAATTCCATAGCGTATATATGCCACATTTTTAATCCATTCATCTACTGAAGGGCATCTAGGTTAGTTCCACAGTTTAGCTTTTGTGAATTGTGAGCCAAGCACCAAAAAACCAAATAACCTAATCAATAAATGGGCCAAGGATCTAAACAGACACTTCTCAGAAGAGGATATACAGTCAACAAATATATGAAAAAATGTTCATCATCTTTAGCAATTAGAGAAATGCAAATCAAAACTACTCTAAGAAATCATCTCACTCCAGTCAGAATGGTAGCTATTATGAAGACAGATAACAAAAATGTTGGTGAGGATGTGAGGAAAAAGGTACATTCATACATTGCTGGTGGGACTGCAAATTGATGCAGCCAATATGGGAAGCAGTATGGAGATTCCTTGGAAAACTGGGAATGGAACCACCATTTTACCCAGCTATCCTCAGTCTATACTCAAAGGACTTAAAAACAGCATACTATAGGGAGAATCACAGTTCTGCCTCAAGTTCTGAATAGCTAAGATTACAGGCATGTACCACCAGGCCCTGCAATTTTATTATTTTTTTTAATGGGATGATAGTACATAATGGGTTAGAACATCAATACCTTTATGTTCTAATGCATGTGGATTTTCAAACCATAATAAGTTCTTCAATACCAAGTGGTGTCTGGTTAATTTCTGGTGCTAACTTCCAGAATTAGCACAAATTCCACACGTTAAGGGCTCCATTCCACAAGACTATCCCCACTTCAGACAACAGCTGCATGTGAAGTCCTCAGGTAACCCACACTTACACCCACCTATCGGTGAATTCAGGACATCCTCCTTTTCTGATATATTTGCTTCTTCATTATAAAGGTTATAACTGAGGAGCAGCCAAATGGAAGAGATAAACAGGGAAAGACATTGTGGGCAGGTAGCCCAACTTCTAGCATGTCTCCTTCCCGGCATGTCAGCGTGTTCATCCACCCAGAAGCTCCCCAAATTGTGTTGTTCAACAGTCTTTTTAATAGAACTTTATTTTCAGGCCTGAAGTGGTAAGAGAAGAAAAGGGCTAAGAAATCCAACCCTGTGCTCACATGCTTGGTCTTTCTGGTGAACAGCATTTATCCTGAAGTTTTTTAGAAACCCCTTTATGAATCATCTTATTACCATAGAGTCAGAAGGGCCTTGTTACAGAAAACAAAAGATAACTCAAATTGCAAGGGTTTTGGGAGATCTGTGCTAGGACAAAATGGGAACAAAGACAAAACATCATTTTATTACATCATACTTTTATACTACTATTAAAAATATTAACATTAGTAAAACTGCCCTTTCCCTGTTTCTGCCAAAGACATTTTTTTAAACAAAATTATTTTATTAATCATTCCATTATTATTTATGTAATCAGATCTCCACTTATTGGATTCATCAGTTCTCAGCAAATTTAAACATATTCACCATGGAAATTGGGGTAAGAGAGGGACTCAGAATTCTATTAGGAACATAACTGTATATGGAAAAAAAAAAGTCCTAAACTTTCTGATGAGGATTATTTGTAATTTTTTAAAAGGGAGATGAAAGTTTGAGCTGGATAGTAACCAAGTAAGTTAATTTCCTAGAGATTCGAAGACAGCTAGGCATTAAAAATTATTCATTGTTCAGTACCTGAGTAAAACAAGGTTAAACCTCTAAATTGGACTTCACTTGTATTTAGTTGTTCATTTTGAAGTATCATTGGATTGTTTTGTTCAGTGTACTGAAAACCTGATAGTATCACTCTAAATGCAGTTCACGACTACACATTAGCCATTATAAATGGTTGTACAGTCCTCTGATATCAGTAGGCCATCTCAAACACTGAATGTTGTAATGTTACTTCACTACATATATCAATAGCTTACTTGTATCACTTATCAAAGAGAAAAGTGTTGAATGTCACCACAGATTCTGATTATAATTATTGAATGTTTGACTAACCCTAATAGAATTTTGTCTTTAAATAACATTTTAAAATGCCATTTTAAAATAAGATATAATATAAATATATATATTTAGTTGTTTATACTTTTTTATAGTTCAGATATAAATCAGTGACATTGAGATTCTATTTTCAGTATATTTTAATGGAAATTTCTGAGATGCTGAAAAATGGTTATTTTGATCTTTGGTGTTCTGTGCAGGCTTCAGAAATTAAATTTATAAATTAACACAGTCTTTGAAATAGTATCTTAATTGATCGTGGTGCTTATTCATTAATCATTGAATCTTGACTCCAGGTTCTCTTGTTTGGTTGTTTTGGTAGTAATACTAAGGCTTGAACGAACAGGCACTCTGCCACTGAACTGTAGTTCAACCCTTTTTTATTTCTATTTTGAGACAGGGTCTTGCTAAGTTGCCCAGGCTGGCCTCAAACTTTCAATCCTGCCTTATACCCTCTCAGAGTTTCCAGCATTACAGATATATGTCCTCATGCCAGACTAAAGAATTTTAGATTCTTATTGTTACTATTGTGTTTCACTTTTTAGGCAATAGACTATCACATTTCCCAAATCTTAAGTAACTGTATTTTAATTTTGTATAGTTTTGTTGTCACTCTGAAATTATGAATTCTTAATAATTTAATGAATTCTTAATGGTTTTCTGCTCACCGCTTCATCCTTGAAAACAGACTCGAATGTAGAAGCATTATAGAAGACTGGAAGTGTGTGTGGTTTTTCAAGAGTCATCATCAGTCATAACTAAAGACTAAAAACCCATAGGTTTTTGTGTGCTGCTAGATTTCTTAAAACATCATAGTGAGAGCTTAGTAAAAAATAATAATTATAATTATTATTCAAACATTAAGTAATTATTATTGCCTACCTAATGTTTGAATTCCTCAAGATTTCATTTAGTAGTCTTTATATTCCCAAAGGTAATCTGAGTCACCCCTATGATTTCTACTAGTATTATTATCATGAAGATATCCAGATAAATATTTTTGTCCTGAACTCTTTTTTTTTTTAAAGGGAGAGAGAGAGAGAATTTTTTTAATATTTATTTTTTAGTTCTCGGCGGACAACAACATCTTTGTTGGTATGTGATGCTGAGGATCGAACCCGGGCCACACACATGCCAGGCGAGCGCGCTACCGCTTGAGCCACATCCCCAGCCCTTGTCCTGAACTCTTGCTAGACCCAGAACATTACTAGAGTCAAGGGTTTGATCCGAGTTTGTTCCTTCACTTTTTTTTTTTTTAAGTCCTCCAGGCCTCAAGTGTATATTAGCCCTATCAAATATAGCAACTTATTTAAAAACCTTAATGTGTTGGTGACTCAGGGTTAGATAAAATATGCAAATGGAATAGAACACAATACTCAGAAACACAGTTTGTCTTTTTTTATTTAAAAAAATATATGTTGTGTGTGTGTGTGTGTGTGTGTGTGTATATATATATATATTAGTTGTAGTTGAACACAATACCTTTATTTTATTTATTTATTTTTATGTGGTGCTGAGGATTGAACCCAGTACCTCACACATGCTAGGCAAGCACTCTACCACTGAGCCACAACCCCAGCCCTCACAATATATGTCTTAAGGAAAGGATAAACTAACTATTTATGGAATGATGCTGATCACCTGGTTATTCAGGTGGAAAAACTATACACAGATTTTCATATATTGTTGTGCTCAGAGTGTGCTATATACATATTTCCTATATGTGGAAAATAGTGGTAGTGGAAAGTACTACCTTAAAAAACTAGGCAAGATTATATTTGCATAGTTGCTTTATAAGACAGATGGGCGTACCTTGGGGACAAGTGATTTGCCTTGTTTATTATAGAAAATACAGAACATGTCTTTTTTTAATTTAAGGAAATAAAACATTTTGTTAGGGTAGAAGTGAAATGTTATGCTTTATCCTAACTTGTATTTTTCATTACTGTATTGTTCTCTAAAGGTTTACTCTGTGATTTGCTGTGGTCTGACCCAGATAAGGATGTTCAAGGCTGGGGAGAAAATGATCGTGGTGTTTCCTTTACTTTTGGAGCTGATGTAGTCAGTAAATTTCTGAATCGTCATGATTTAGACTTGATTTGTCGAGCTCATCAGGTATGAAAGAAGACTCATGGATATTTTATTATTTGTTAACTTCATACAGCCCTTTCATTTTATTTTCAAGGAAACATCTAAAAAAGCTCAAGTGACTTAGTATAAGGAAAGCAATAGGAGAAGCAGAGCCAGTACTAGATTTCACAGTTGATAGTTGATCTGTTAACCTTATCTTGCCCTACATGAAATGTTTGAAAAGAATGTTTTTGTACACAGTGTAGTGCAACCCCAACAACATTTTCAGTGCTTTGCTGAAGCTTTCTATATGATGTCTAGTTTTTTTATGTGGTCTTTATATATTATGGACAATAGTCAAATGTTATCCTTAATTATGTGGATATTGTTTTTGATAATGACAAACTACACTATAAAAAATGAAACATTGAAGAATTAGATTTTAGACTGGATATTAGATATCAGAATGTGGGGCTGGGGATATAGCTTAGTTGGTAGAGTACTTACCTTACATGCATAAGGCCCTGGGTTCAATCCCTAGCTCTGCACCACCACCACCCCCCCAAAAAAAAGGATATCAGAATGTGATCATTGTATTAACTGTGACACAATCATTGTTATGTAAGAAAAATTCCCATGTTTTCCAAACATAACTAGTGTAAAATAAATTGATCGAAAACAGGGCTGGGGTTGTGGCTCAGTGGCAGAGTGCTCGCCTAGCATGCGCAAGGTACTAGGTTCAATTCTCAGCACCACATAAAAATAAAATAAAGATATTATGTCCACCTATCACTGAAAATAATTTTAAAAAATTGATCGAAAGGCATTTTGGAAAATCTTTCTTGGCTAGGAATATATCTCATTGGTAGAGCACTGGCATAGCATGGTGGAGGCCATGTGTTCTATCCAAAGCACTGCAAGAAAAAAGAAAGAAAATGGAGAGGAAAGATGAAAATCTTTCTTGGACACATTTGAGGTTACTGAGTTTTTTAAATTTACAAATATATTTAAGATTTCTTGTTATCGATGTATTAAAACAAAATTTATTAAATTCATTCTATACTGTTTATAGTACTTTCTTTTTCTTTAGGTTTTAATCCCCATGATGCTTGCCTAGTTCTCTTTCTTTGTGTAATCCTAAGTGATAAACAAAAATGACTGTTTTCTTCTCCTCTGTATGTTATTTATATATATGTGTGTGTGTGTGTGTGTGTGTGTGTGTGTGTGTATCACATGTTTTGCTTGTCATTCTATTGAATGAAATTCCCTTTTGGCTTTTGGACTGTCTTTTATCAGTAAGTATTCTATTTATAATTTTGACAATTAAGCATTCTGTTAGGTTTCAGAGCAGACTTTCTAATAACTTTCCTCACTAAAATCCCCACTGATAATTATTTTTCCAATTGTATGCTTTTATTCAGTGGTCTTAATACATATAGGTAATGATTTTTAAAGCTCAAGTTATTGAGCTATCTAGTTTGTTTGCTGTTTTCTAGAAACTTCCCAAATCCTGTTCTACTTGGTTTTTGGTTTTGTTTTTGTTTTCTCGGCAGTACTGAGGGATTGAATCCAAGAGTGCTCTAGCACTAAGTTGCATCTCCAGCTTTCCTTTTATTTTTTATTTTGAGGGGGTTTGGCTAAGTTGATGAGGCTGGCCTTGAACTTGAGGTCCTCCTCCCTCTCTCCCTATCTGTGAGATTACAGGCATGTGCCATTACACCTGCCGTTCTGCTTGTTTTTAGTCATGTTGTTTCAACAGTTGAGGCTTATAATAAGAAATAACACAAACTTCACACATTTGCTTTAAAAAAAGTGTTTGAAAGAATAAACAAACAACTAAGAAACATAGTACTGAGTGCCAAGCATTACTATGAGCTGGGGGTAGAAGAGGTGGCCACAGTTTTTAATATTTTTTTAGTTGTTGATAGATCTTTCTTTCTTTCTTTCTTTCTTTCTTTCTTTCTTTCTTTCTTTCTTTCTTTCTTTCTTTCTTTATTTATTTATTTATTTATAATGTGGTGCTGAGAATCGAACCCAGTGCCTCACACATGCCAGGCAAGTATGCTACCACTAAGACACAGCTCCAGCCCGAGGTGGCCACAGTTTTAATTGAAATGGATAATATTGAAATTTTATCATACGGTAAATGTCAACAGAAACATGTTCCTAAAACTGAGGTAGGAGTTATTTTTAAAAGTAAATTATTTTGGAGCTCTTTTTTATATTAGCAAACATTGTAGTGCAATTTTGCTTGTTGAAGGATATCTAAAATAGACTTCAAAAGGTAATCTTCTGGGCTGGGGTTGTGGTTCAAGTGTTAGAGTGCTCACCTAGTATGCGTGAGGCACTGGGTTCAATCCTCAGCACCACATAAAAATTAAGATATTGTATCCACCTAAAACTTAAAAATAAAAAAAAGGTAATCTTCCTATTGTAAATAAATATAAAATGCTAGTACCTCTCATTTGTAGAGTTGAAATTATTTAAATCACTTAGGAATTGACAACAGAATTTAGAAATCATTAAATCAATAAGGAAAAGCATTTTAATAAAAGTTCAATTTATTAGCAGCTAACAAAGGAGCATGATATGTGTGACTTAAACCCAACTTAGTAAATGTTTTCAGTATTTCAGTATGGTAAGTTTAAAAGTGAAACAAGAAAAAGGATCTTAGCACAGTCTCCTTTTTGTTTTTGCTCATTTATTTAAGAATTCTGTAATTGATTACAGTGTTATCAAAGATGTGCTTGGTATTCCAGCTCCCTGTGGACATTATACCTACCAGGTTCTCCCCCTTTCCTTTATGAGTGTTGGAAATATGATTTTTTGAGTTTTCATTTTTAACATTTCCTTTGACAGGTGGTGGAAGATGGATATGAATTTTTTGCTAAACGACAATTGGTAACCCTATTTTCAGCCCCAAATTACTGTGGCGAGTTTGACAATGCTGGTGGAATGATGAGTGTGGATGAAACTTTGATGTGTTCATTTCAGGTATGATATATATGTAAATTTTTAACAACTGGAAATATAATTGAAACTATTGTCATAATGTTTTTTCTTTTGGATTTGTGATCTTCCCTTGAACAGAGTGTTAAAAATCAGTTTAATGCAGGAATGATTGTCACTGAAACTCTTTAGAGATCCTATTTCTAATCACAAAAAAGTTTCCAGCTTCTTTTGGTATATGTTAAATGTGAGAGTTTTAGGAGATCTGAATTGTGTCAAGGGATCCTGATTCAGTTGAATTCCTCCATATGACCTGTTGGATATTGGCTTACCTAGTAATGTGAAGGCAATGGATAGGTTTTGTTTTCTTTTGCAAGATGAACAGGTAGGATAGACATTTTCTTGTGAAAATGAAGTAGAAAATTTACCTAAGGTACTTTCCAAATCATCTTAAAGTATCTTTTGTAAACATAGAAACATTGATATTTTGAAAAGGGACCAACTGTAGTTTGGTGTGCTGCTCACAGATGGTTCTTATTCACCGACTTAAATAGCTTCAGTACTTTGTTTTTGTAAAGGTTATTTTATATCCTTCACATGTACACACTGTACATTTATTCCTTGGTACCCATGGGGTATTAGTTCTAGAGCTCCCTGTGGATAATAGAATCTGAGGTTGCTCAAGTCATTTTATATAAACAGCACAATGTTTGCATATAGTCTGTGTACATCCTCCAGTATTCTTTAAATCATCTCTAAATTACTTACAATGGCCAATGCAGTGCATATACAGTGTAAGTAGGAGTTGTACTCTATTGTTTAGAGAATTAATGATGAGGCAGAAACATCTGTACATGTTCAGTATATATTTTTTCTTCTGAATATTTCAGTCTACAGTTGAATTTTCAAATGTAGAACCCATAAATACATAGGGCCAACTATATTTCTCTTTCAGGTCTTATCCTAACAGTTGTTGTCATGGAAAGTGGGATTAATATGTTTCTTTCACCAAGGCATTATAATGCTCTTGAATAGTTTTAAGAAATACTTTATAAATGTTCTCTTTATATTTTTCCTATAAAATCATGGTATTTTCTGTATATAATGTAGGTTAAATTTACACTTACTAGGGAGCTAGAATTGTGGCTTAGCAGTAGAGTGTTCCCTACCACATCTGAGACCCTGGGTTTGACCCTCAGCACCACATAAAAATAAATAAATAAAGAAAGGCGTTGTGTCCAACTACAACTAAAAAATTAAATATTTTTTTAAAAAAATTTATACTCACTAGGATGAGTATAAGTTAAAAGGTCAGATGGCAGCAATGGAATAATTCAAAACTTTATACATTGGTGGCAATGTAAATTGGTACAAATGTTTTAGAAAACAGTTTGGTAGTCATCAAAAGGTTAACCATGCCCAGAACCACCTCCCAAAAAGGATAAACATAGAGTTGACCCAACAATTTCTCTTCTAGGTATATACCCAAGAAAAATGAAAACATAGGTCCACACAAAATCTTACACATGATGTTCAAAGCAGCATTATTCATAATAGCCAAATAGTGAAAATAATCCCAAAGCCCATTGGAATAACAAAATGTGGTATATCCAGTGGAATGTAATTTAGTAATTAAAAAACAGAATGAGTTACTAATACACATTGTATTATTGAGAGCTTTGGAATCAAAAGTTGAAAGAAGCTGGTCATAAGTAACCACTTAGGATGCCAGTTATGTGAAATGTCCAGAGTAGACAAATCTACAGAAACAAAGTAAGTGATTGCTTATGATTGGAGGGAGTTGGAGTGCAGAAATGGTGGGTGACTGCTAATAGAAACAAAGTTTCTTGTGGGGGTGGACAAAAATGTTCTAAAATAAGATTATGGCCATGGTTGGTTTGCTGAGCACTGTGGTGTATGCTTGTAATCCCAGCTATTTGGAAGACTAAGTCAGGAGGGTGCAAATTTGAGGCTAGCCTCTGCAATTTAGACCCTGTCTCAAAAGAAGAATAATAAAACAAAAGTGGGGGATATAACTTAGTGATAGAGTGATCCCCTGAGTTTAATCCTTAATACCATAAAATAAAAGAAAATAGCCTTGACTTGACTGCTTCAAATAGATAAACTTTATGGTATGGAAAACATGTCAGTAAAGCCAGTCTAAGATCTGTTTACTACAAATTGGCAACACAAAAATGATTTTTTATTAAAAATAATTTATAAGATCTAAAGAATTTATAACTTGAAGATTAATTACCTGCTAAACAAAATATGTCAGGATTATAAGAGCTTGGGTCTTTTGACTCTTGAAATCGATGAGATATACTAATTTGAAAAAAGTCTTAAATTTAAGGTGGGTACTTGATAGAGTTAGTGTACTCAAGCTTTCTACTAAAATATTAATGGAATAATACATAATAAGTTTTTGGATATTTGTATTTTCTTTTGTTTATTGTTGTTTAGTCCTGGAGATTGAATCCAGAGCGTTGTGCATACTAGGCACTTACTCCACCTCTGAGTTACACCTGTAGCCCTTGCACTGTCTTCAAATATGAGAAATATTTATTGTGTTTTGCTATTTTATTCTACATTTTGTTACATTTTGATAAATTGTGCTATTTTGAAAGAATAATATTGTGGATTATTTACTTTAAGATATTGAAACCATCTGAAAAGAAAGCTAAGTACCAGTATGGTGGACTGAACTCTGGACGTCCTGTCACTCCACCTCGAACAGCTAATCCTCCGAAGAAAAGGTGAAGAAAGGAATTCTATAAAGAAATCATCAGATTTGTTAAGGACATACTTCATAATATATAAGTGTGCACTGTAAAACCATCCAGCCATTTGACACCCTTTATGATGTCACACCTTTAACTTAAGGAGACGGGTAAAGGATCTTAAATTTTTTTCTAATAGAAAGATGTGCTACACTGTATTGTAATAAGTATACTCTGTTATAATATTCAACAAAAGAAGTTAAATCCAAATTCAAAATTATCCATTAAAGTTACATCTTCATGTATCACAATTTTTAAAGTTGAAAAGCATCCCAGTTAAACTAGATGTGATAGTTAAATCAGATGAAAGCATGATGATCCATCTGTGTAATGTGGTTTTAGTGTTGCTTGGTTGTTTAATTATTTTGGGCTTCTTTTGTTTGTTTGTTTGTTTTTGCTAGAATAATGGCAACTATTTTTAATTTTTTTTTCTGAAACATTTTTAAAAGTGAAACATGGGAAGAGCTTTAAAGACATTCACCAACTATTATTTTCCTTTACTTATCTATTTGCTCTTACTAAGAAAACATGCCTCATTACAGTAAAAGGAATTTTAGAGATTGATAGTTTTAAAAATAGGTGAACTATCCAATAATTTTTAATCAAACAGTTTGGGCATACATACAGCTGATAGTGAATATTTTGCTTTTTACAGAAATTGCCACTGATTTGGATTTGTGCACTCTAATTTTTAACTTATTGATGCTCTATTGTGCAGTAGCATTTCATTTAATTTTAAGATAAGGCTCATATAGTATCACCCAACTAGTTGGTAATGTGATTATGTGGTACCTTGGCTTTAGGTTTTAATTCGCACGAAACACCTTTTGGCATGCCTACTTCCTGATAACACCCTCACCTGCATCAGTTTTGTTTTTGGGGTTTTTGTTGTTGTTTGTTTGTTTGTTTTTAGATCCACAGAACATGAGAATCCTTTTTTGACAAGCCTTGGAAAGCTGACACTATTTTCCTCCCTCTGTACGAAGGATGCATTTAAAATGGATGCTGGTCAGTGGGACATATTGTCAACTATGGGTATTGGGTGCTTCACTGTCTAATATTGCCATGTGAATGTTGTATACGATTGTAAGGCTGTGTCACTAAAGATTTTAATTCTGGTTTTTCATAATCAAAGGTCATATGATATTGTATAGATATGCTTTGTAGTGAACTATAGTAGCAATAATTTCTGTACATGATCAAGAGTTTATTGCAGCATTTCTTTTTTTGGTTTTGTTTTGTTTTGTTTTAAGGGTTAGAATTAACAAATGGCAAGGAGTAGAAAAGTCAACATAAAGATTTTAGAAGGAGAACTGATAGGACACAGGTTTGTGATTCATTGGATGTGATTCTAAAATCTTTTATTGAGTATTGTCAAATTTGTAAGCTTCACAGGGATGGACATCATATTTATAATACCCTTCTATATGTGCTACCATAGACGTGAAATTCTTGACCTTAATATTGTCTTTGAAAATGTTTAAATTGAGAATTCTGTTAACTTACATTTTATGGATTGGCGCATTGTATTACTGCAAGAAATATTTGATTTTCAGCACAGTGCAAAAGTTCTTTAAAATGCATATGTCTTTTTTTCCTAATTCCATTTTGTTTTAAAGCACATTCTAAATGTAGTTTTCTCATTTAGTAAAAGTTGTCTAATTGATATGAAGCTTGGCTAAGTATTTTTATTTCATTTTTTTCTTTCCATTGAGACATTTAAGTACATATTTTGACATTGGATTTTTTTCTGAACGTGTTCATGACCTGCATATATATTAGATTAGGTCACGTGTGTGTGTGTGTGTGTGTGTGTGTGTGTGTGTGTGTGGTGGGAATTGAACCCAGGACCTTGTGCATGTGAGGCAAGCACTCTACCAACTGAGCTATATCCCCAGCCCTCACACATGCTTTTATCTAATGTGATTTAATAACTTCCTGATTGAAGTATAAATTGTGCAATTTCTAATAGAAGCTTTCTATTGAAGACATCTACATCAGAGGTAGATCTATAGTAAAAGCCTTTAGCAAGAAAAGAGCAATCTTTTACATCATTATTTGTTAATTCACAAATACTGGATCCTGGCTTTTTTTAAAAGTCATCTCTAAGTCAAGACTAAATATGAAAAAATAATCACTAAGCAAACTAATATTGGTCATAAATTTAAAATATAGAAATTTACCATGTTGAAAAATTATTTAAGCATTCTTTTTTTTTAATTGGTTGTTCAAACCATTACAAAGTATTTAAGCATTCTTAAAAGCACTTTAATAACATATTCACAAGTAGTGTGTTCATCACAAGTTGGTAATATTGCTACTTAATTAAATTTCTCAGGAGAAAAATAACCTGGATTCCAATGTCACTGACTTATGTTCTTCCTTTGCTTTTTTCAGTGTAGTGATTTTCTGTATACAGTTTAACCCAAATGTTATGACATTCAAAATCATTAAACATATTAGATGTGTATTATAAGGAGGATCACATGGATTAGAATAAGCAAGGTTATTATGGTCATTTTGTTTGTTCTTGAAAGAATCAACTGCAGTCAATCTTTTGCACTTAAAATTGTTTAACATTCTTTGTTTTAATTTTGTCTAAGGACAGGTTTTAATTATCAGCAAAGGACTGATTGGTTTAGTGTTGTCATCTTTTACTACTCAGTGTTACTTTATTTTTGTACTCAGTCAATCCTGAAGTTATTTTTTTTGTTGTTGTTGTTTTAACTGAAAAAAGTCAGGAAGAAAACTTTTAAAGCTTTAAATAGGAACTATGCTTGTACATCAAAAGTATCTAATTACGGTTATAATAACAAAAATATGAAGAAAGCATGAAGTTACCTACAATGGGATTATTCAGATATATTCCCAAATTAGGATGCAGTTTCTTTATGTATTAAGTTGTTAAAGGTTTGCAATGTACAGAGAGGCAGGCTTAGGTCAAGTTAAATAGTTCCCATCTTTTCAATCATGCCTCTCAATTTTGGATATTGAACAAAACCTTGGAGCACTAACACCACTTTCTGTCACTATCAAATGGACATGTTTGGTCTCAGTACCTAATTCACAATTCACATTATTGGGTTATTTGAGTGATAGTCCCTGAGTTTAAATGATTTGACTTAAAATTTTGATCTTTTTACAGGCTAGCAGTAAGTTCTAGGATACTGTCTCTTGATGCTGGATCAGAGGCTGTTAGTTTCCAGTCACACAGAATATAGTCAGGAGAGTAAATGAATTAAAACTCTATGTCTACTGTTTACCCTTTGCACAGACCAGTCCTTTGTAGTAAATGCATTTTAGACTTCACGATATTTTCAACTTCTTATGGATTTATCAGGACATAACTCTGTTGGATGTGTAGAAACATCTGTCCTTGTAACAAGTAAAACAGCTGAGTCTCAGCTAATCATAGCAGCTGAGCTTTCAACAAGTCAGTGCCCTCAAACTGCCAGAAATGTCCATAAAAGGTAAATGCTGAACCATAACCAGTCAGGCTGTTTCTGTGTGTCCTTTGCTTCTGTACATACTGCCTATCCATGGGCAGAGATCTGTATCGTCATGCTTCGAGAATGCTACCTCAGGGGTTTCGGTTGTAGCTCAGTGGTAGAGCACTTGCCTAGCATGTATGAGGCACTGGGTTCAATTCTCAGCACCACACACACACACAAAAAAACAAATAAAGGTATAAAAAATGCTACCTCATTTATGATTTGTTTCTTTGATTAAATAAATTCAGCTAAATTGAGAGGGGGAAATGGATTAATTTGGAGTATGAATGTGTTTGGGGCAACACACCTTTCAAAAGAATTCATCAAAGGCAAGCCAGGAACATCTTACACTGTATCTCTTAAGAACACAAAAGTCTGTTATATTCAGCCAGGGGAATGAAATATGCTCAGTTTTATAAGTTCAGATATGTTCCTTTTTCTTTGTAAGAGCCAAAAGAACAAATTAACTTTTTTACATCTTTATGCTAAAAATGCAGTTAAAGAACAATGATGATCAGGCTGAATTTGCTAACACAGCCAACCTAATCTTCCATCTCCCTTTCCTTGTGAGATCACACCTGAATTAAAGATGCATCTGAGCCACATAAAGTAACACATACCTGTAATCCCAGCAACTTGGGACCCTGAAGGATTCCAAGTTCAAGGCCAAGATCAGCAACTCAGCAAGACCCTAAACAATTTAGCAAGACCTTATCTCAAACACAAAAAGGACTAAGGATGACATAGCTGTAACATTTGAAAGGACTAATTGCCTGAGGTTTCTAAGTTCAACATTCTTTTCAAGTGTTGCATGCAAAAAGATATAACCTAAGATCTATTTCTGAAGGCTTCCAGTTCAATCAGGCCTGCATCACCAAGTGAAGTGTGTGTTAATTTTTACAGCTGCCTCATCTGAGTAATTCAATAGATGTATTTAGGCCAGTTTATTCCCCCCAAAGCAATGATGTCACAGCTAAACATCTGGAACTATCACAGATTGTTATGTAAATTTGTTGAAACATAAGTTTAAAACCCCTAGTATATTTCTTGGGGGTGTGGGAGGTGGTTGAGAAAATAAACTACAGTGATAAAACTTTTTATATCAGACTATCCCTGGTAACAGTTGCTGAAAATGTTGATTGACACTTAATAAGTTATTGATGGGCTGACACCTGTTCTACCATTCATGGATTAACATGAACTTTGTCTTTTGCTCTTGATTTAATAAAAATTCCTGAGAAAATAGATGTGAAGTTTAAGTTATTTGAGGTTTATGTCTGGTAGAACTCATGAGTCTATTCAGTTTATCAAATTAAAATTAGTAAGATACTCATTACCTCAGAAAATCTTGTGTGAGTCCCAGGATCCAACTCAGCACATACAACTGGGTTCCAAACATCAGTAAGAGATTTTAGAAACAAATCTCCTGTTTCCCAGGATAATTGCCAGGTTTTGTAGCCCACTGGGGCTTAGTGACTCCACCTAATTCAACTAATCAAAGATTTAGATTAAAATCTTTCTGTTATTATACTGCATGGCCTCTTTTGAGGGGGAGACCTAATCTGTTTTAGCAAGCAAAATCCTTAAACTCTTTGAGTATGTTCACTGGCAGATTAACACGAATTGTAATCCATTCCATTTTCCATCATAGCAGTTACTGATTTGGATCCATTAAGATATTGGGTGTTCCTTAAGACTGTTAACATTTGACCCTTAAAATCTTGAGGTTTAGATCAGTCTCACTGCGTTGATTTGAATGTAGCTCATGGGCAGAGATCTTTTTTTTTCACTGACCGATCTAGAGTGCTTGACCCTTTATAAATGATAGAAAAGGTCTATCAGTAACAATATTTGTTTAATGAATAATAAGAGTTTCAAAATGACTGCTTGTATTACTGTTTTGACACCTTGGCCTTCTGATGAAATATGCCACAAATAAACAGCTCAAATTTTCATTCTCCATATAATTGCTTTTGTCTCTTTAGGAAAGAAGTCTCAGGAGAAAGTTGATTTGAGTGTGTGCTGCCCAAATGATTCATTGTCAAAACTGTGGCTGTTATTTGGTAAAATATTGGTAAATCTAAGAAGTAAAAGTGATGAGTTACTTGAACATTTTGCAGCTAGTATCTGACAGCCACATTGAGGAAGTTGTCTGTTCAAAACCAACCAAACAGTTCAAGATACTTGTAATTAGTTTCTTGCCTTCCTTTCTATAGATTATATTCCGTTTTGCTGATCTTGAGGCAAAACTTCACATTTTTTAGGAAAATAGTATAGTTTGTGTGATATTTTGCCCCAAAAGTAAGAGCACTTAAAACCAGGAATAAAAACTTTAAAGTGGAGAGGCTACTTCTTCATTTAACAAATAAGGATTAAGTCAAGACAGAAGTACAGGGAGAAAAAAAAAATGTTTTTACACACACACACACACACACCAGTAAGGAACAAAATAAGTGGTACAGTGGAAAAAACTCTTCCAGGCAGAAATTTAATAAGTTCTGTTATTTTGTTAGATTGATTATTCCTGATACCCAGAGTTTATATAGGTCTTTTCTGTTTAAGAGTAATTACGCAGGCTCCATTCATGGAGACCCTATCTCAAAACAAAAAGAACTGAGGATGTAGCTCAGTGATAGAGCGCGCCCCTGGGTTCAATCCCTAGTATCAAAAAATAAGCCCATATGACTCCTACAGGTGAAGAAGAGAGAGATTGCACAACATAGCCACTATCCCTGCACCCAAATGGCTTGGAGGGTTGGGTAGAACACATAGAAAAGGAGTGCTGAAAAACATCGATTGGTGTCCTCTATTTAACCTTGTAAAGTTGAACATGTACATTTCTCAACAGCCCATCAGTTTTATTTTGAAACATTTATAGAAAAACTGCATGTGTGCATCATAGGACATATACAAGAAGTATCAAAACTATTTGACTTTAAGCCATGAACACTGTCCAATCAGATCCTGTGCCAGGTATAAACATTGCAGCTGATGACCAAGTCTGTATGAGAATGCTCAATGCATTCACAATAAAAATAAATAAAAGACCCAAATACCCATTGACAGGAGCACTGATACAATATATTAATAGAGCAGAAGGAATGTAATAGTGATCTGCAGTGTCATTCATTAGCGTGGTCAAATCTATGATGAATACAAAGGCTGAGTATTAGTCCACAAA